AATCATATTTTTTATGCCCGGACAAAGCGCGTTGGGTTAAACTATCATTTTATGCATGAAAATGTTGCTTTTGAATTACTTATCACTTAATTTGTTTCCTCTCCCAATCAAGTAGTTGATATCTTCACCAAGCCTTTGCCACGATTTGTTTTTCAAAATTTTTGCTTCAAACTCAGGCTTCAACTGCTTCCTCAACCGAGTTTGAGGGGGAATAATAGAAACAAAATTCAAACAAGATAAAAAAGTGTATTAATCTTTACTTTTGAGAGGAGGATCAAGATAGGAAAGTGTATATGGCATGCAACAAGATAAGAAAATGTATATTACATCATTGTATTACCATTATATATACAATAAATGGTGAGATTTGTATAGCCTAGGCTCTAAACAATCAAATTAGAGCCTACCTTCAAATAGTGTCGAGAAATATGGTTTCAATATTGAAAAGTTTTGTGATAGCCTTAAATTATATTTTCATATTTAGTTATAAAATTTAAAGCTTAAAAAATAGTGTAGATTGAAAAAATTTATGAAAACTTGAAAATCTTGAAAATTGACGGTCCCAAAATACGTTACAAGATGTACTATTTCTAAAACTTGAAATCCATTTTTTTCTCATGTCCATGCATCTTGATGTTGAGATGATCAATTTGATGATATTTGAGCATCAAAACAACCTCTTCTAATGAAAGTTTTGAGGTAGGTCCTAATTTGATTGTTTGGAGCCTAGGCTCTACATAAACTTTTCCCTACAATAAAAGAACCACCACAAAAATTGTGAGGGGCATAATTATTTTCTCAAGAGTTCTTGGGAATTTCTTTAACTCTCATTGGTTTGATCAATATCGGATGATTGAGATGTCAGAGTTTTATTGGTGAGCTATAATACAGTGAAATATAACCTCGTTATTTTTTCTTTTTGTGTAATCCATATCGTCCTTTTTGTTAGGCTGGGATGAATTATGATTTAACAAATCTTTTTAATTTAAGAAATATAATCCTCTCATCAATGGAAATTCCATTTAATGCAAAAGCTGGCTGATTTTCACATATCTAGGTTTAAAAAATCCTAAGCTAAACGAGACAGTTTTTTAAAGTTCTAGAATTTTAAAAACTAAATAAACACTATATTTTCCATTACCAGGTGGATCAAAGTTCTTGCAACCGGCTCCCATTGAGAAATCCATGTTCTGATTCTTGCCTATCGACCCTTTAGATGCTTAATGTACTTCATTATGAGGTGTGATGATAATTTAGGGTTGTATGTATAGAAGGATCCCTTTGGTTTGGGGCAATTTCCATAAGATGTCTTATTCAGAATGTAACCTAGGACTCATGCCATTGAATTGGAGGGGTGGCCTAGTGTTTAGGGGATGTAGGCTAGTGCTTTTTCTATAAGTGTTATCACGTTGTATAGGGTATGTAGGGCTACATTGTATAGGGTATGTAGGGCTACGGGGTTTTCTAGTGTTTGGGGCAATTGGGTTTGTATTAGTCTTATATCTATTGTTTAGGACATGGCCATGATGTATAAAGTCTTACATCTAGTGTCTAGGGCTTGGGCATGAGGTATTTAATTGTTGGGGTGTCTCTCTAGTGTTTAGGGTATGTAGGCTAGAGGCTTTCTATATTTGGAGCAATTGGACTCAATTAAGATATGTTTTATCATTTAACTAAGTGCTTGTTTAGATCTAGAGGTTTTTTTAGTGTTTGGGGCGCTTGGGTTTCTTTCTACTAGTTGGGTTCTAGGATCTAGGGCTAGGGCATGTGGTTTTTAATTGTGGGGGTTCTAGCTCTAGTGGTGGTTTTGATTAGCATATGTGGGTGATTAAGGGTTTTTTTAGGGTTTAGGGTGTGTGGCTTTTATTAGGGGTGGCTAGGGGTTTTGGGAATGGGTCCCTTTATGTAGGCCTCCTAAAGGGCAGCCTCACCTGCCCATTCTAACTGGTCTTACGGCGCTTGCCGGCTTTAATGTGTGCAAAGACAGCAATTTTATGCATTATATAAAACCCTTATTCATTTAATGCTAAGCAGCCCATTTGTCCAGAACAAAGGGGAAGCTTCACTTTCACTGTTAAACACTTAAAACCAACTCTTCTCTTTCCCTCCAATTCTCCTGCCCTTTTCTTGGGCAAACTGTCCCCTTTTAAGGGCACCCACCCTTGATTTTTTATCATTTTAAGGGCTCCCACCCTGTTTTATAATCATTTTAAGGACAGCGTCCCTTGTTTTTTTATGATTTTAAGGGCACCCACCCTTGTTTTCAATTAATTTAAGGGCACCCACCCATGTTTTTTTTTAATCAATTTAAGGGTACTCCTTCATATTGTTCCTTGTGAATTACCTTCACTCCAAAACAAAATCTACCAAATCCCGGATTTTGTGCGGTGGCAGCTGTAAGAGAGTGCAAAAACTTTCAATAGGCTTTTTTAATTGGGGTCTTAAGACCTTAATTTAGTGTTTTGGTTTATTTTAATCCATGAGCGTGGACTAAGGACTTTTGGGTCTCTTTCTCCACTTTTCTTGACAGTTTCCTATACACAAACCCTCTCTCTATACTTTAACTCTCTCTCTCTCTCTGGCATCAACTTTAAACAATCAAAGTAAGGTGCACCATTAGCTCTATTGAAAAAGGGCAATTCGGTTCCTGGAAATCCCTACGATGACTTGTAAATCTACTTTTGCTTTTAATTTCGAAATTTTCAAAATGGTACAGATCGAACAAATCAATAAATATTTAAAAATATTAAAAATGGTACAATCCAGATTATATGTTTCAAGTTGTACTATTTTTAAGACTTGAAATTCTTTTCATATCCGTACATTTCAAGTCGAAACATTAAGTCAGAGGATTTCCCAGCATTGGAACAAAGTTTTTGAGGTGGTCCTTACTTTCACAGTGTAAAGTTGACGCTTTATATTAGATATAAGCATGCAAATCATCTCTTTCCTATACTCGTCTTTCTATAAAGAACTCTTTCTCTCTCTCTTACATACAAAGGATGCTTAGCTTTGGAGTAATATGATAGATCCAAAGTCTACTAGTGATTATTAACATTTACTGCCTTCCTTTCCACGACACCTTTGGCCTGTGTTGTGGGAAATGTAACATCTACCTTGGCTAAATTAGGGTTAAACTTACCCATTTTGATCTTAAGCTTATGGGAAAAAAATTCTTTTTTACTAAAAATAGGAGTACCCGTGTCTTCAAATTTCTTGTTTTCCAATAAGTGGGGCCCTCGTAGGCCCAAGCTTTGGTAAAGGACATTGGACTTTGTTGCCTTTAGTCCTGAATTTCTGGACCAACACTTTTGTGGGGCCTAAGAAAGGTGGGGTTCTCAAGAAAATGTACAAATGTGACATTTTGATGACCTGAAACCAGTGATTATAATTTAGTGGTTGAGAACCCAAACCCAGAGAATTCAAAGACCGATGATATTTAGGAAAACTTGTGCTTTTAGCTTTTAAGTTGGAGCTAAGCAAATATGTTTGGAAAAAGCATACAAAAAGACTATTTACCATTGTACAATCATTCTTATCTTTTAAATTTCAAAATGGGTGGTTGTAAAAATGTCATTAAATAGATATATAAAATTACTAAAAAAAATATCGGATTTTGTGACTCACTCCAAGCCATTCAATTTGACATCCAATGAGTAGGGAATAGTTGTGACCTCCTTATACAAAGATAAATGACTCTTTGTAGACAATCCCATATGTGTAGTGCTTGAAAATGGGTAATTTGTTTTCACTCTATGGCAAATAGCTGAATTAGCATTCCCTACTGGTAAAAATGGTAAGGAATAAAGCTGAAGTGGTTTCATGGTGTGAAAGCAATAACTTGATACTGCGAATACTCGAATTCGGGATGGCGAATGGATTAACAAAAAGTAAAAAACTAGATTTAAAAAGTTGGACTCAGGGTCCGACTCCTAGGGTCCCGTGCCCCAGTGGATTACATAGCCAAGTGGGAGGCTGAGTCTTAGGTTGGACTCAGACAGTTCTCTCTGAAAATAACATAAAGGACCTTGCGATCGGCAGACTTGCCTAATTTTTGGGTCTCTTCCTCTGGAATCTCCATCATCCTGAACTTGTCCGACATCCCCGAGTCTAATTGTCACATTTTTAATAAAAGCAGTTGGGAACAGTCTCTGTGTGGCTTTGGCAGTGGGAGATATATAGGGATAGTAACCTTCACTCCTTTGGCAATTAGAGATATTCAATGTCCTTTAAAAAACTCTCTCCATATCAGAATCTATTTATCTATTTGTATCCACCTATCTATGCATCTATCTATCTGCTATGATGGATTCATTCCGGTAGGAATGGAATCAGCTTCTTTAATGAGGTGACTGATTGATTCATGGAAAAAAAGGACATGGATATATTTGATCATTCCAACCACCAAGCCCCTTTCATAGACAGCCTGCGTCATTTTTTAATGCATAAAAGACTAGAAGCCAAACCGCCAACCCCCCTTGTTTTGGATCCCAGTTTTAGGCAAAAAAGATAGATAGACAGCTAAAACTAGTGAGGTCATGTGTGTGTAATATACAGTGTTCCTATGTATACATGCATGTGTAGTGCTGCCTAAAACCTCTAAATCTAGCCAAGGTCCACTAAAGTTAGCCATGCAAAACTAATCAGTCCCCCCAACCTTCATATGATTGCCCATATTTTTCCCTTCCTCTTCATTGAGCTGTAAAGTGTACACAGCCTTTTTATATTCATACCCTTATTTTTGGGTCCTTGCTTTTTATATTCAGACCCCTTATTTTTGGGTCCTTGTTCTTCTCTTTCTCTCTCTGTGTTTTAAAGTTTTAATCAGAAAGAGAGGGATGGTTGAAAGTGAGGTGTGTCTAGTTTGACCCATAAGAGCTGCATCTTAATCACTGGCCTACAAGACATGGCCACGTGTTGTAGGGCCTCTATAGTCACCACATCCCCCCACATTGGCTGCCTTTTCTCATAATTTCTGTTACAAAAGAAAATTAATTTAATTCCCAAAATCCCCTCCCAAGAATACCAATTATGTATTCATTTTCTTTCTTGGCAGCAGCTACCAAGAAGCACATTCCAAGCTTAAGAAAGGGGGCAGCTTTTGAGATATAAGGAGGAAAACCCAACAAGGAAATAGACAGTTAGTGGTTCTTCTCTTTCTTCTTCTCTTATCCTCTCTCTCTCTCTCTCCATGGCACCTTTCATGCTTGTATTCCACGACAAACGGGTTGAAACTCGGTTTGTGATGCCTTAGAGCTACTAAGATATCCTCTTCTCTTTTGGGATACCTAAGTTGAGAGTTTTTCCTGTGTGGGGCTTGTTCGTGCTTAATTTATGATGGAGTGGAGTTGCGATCCTAATGATCGGGTAGCTGGTTTGAAGATCATCGAGGACTTGACGCAGAGTGCAGGCCAAGTTCAGAGAAGGGTGCTAGACGAGATCTTGAGGAGGAACTCCGAGACTGAGTATCTGAAAGGATTTATACAAGGTGATTTAGGGAGAGAGACATTCAAGAAGAAGGTGCCGGTTGTGAATTACGAAGATGTCAAGCCTTACATCGAGCGTATAGCCAATGGAGAGCCTTCTCAGATCATTTCTGGACAACCCATCTCCGAATTGCTCACAAGGTGATCCATCGAGCGTAAACAGTAGGGAGATTTCAATACTGGCTTTTGTTTTTATGAATTTTTCTTTCTTGTACTCATGATTCAACCTCATTTCTTTGTTATTTTTTCAGTTCAGGAACATCCGGAGGTCATCCTAAGATGATGCCATCAACAATTGAAGATTTAGATAGGAAAACCTTCTTGTATAACCTTTTAGTACCTGTGATGAACCAGTAAGCACCTGTCATTCAACCCACCTTTCATCTCCTATCTCTCTCTTGAGTCTCACATTGAATGTCACAATGTCTAAAGAGCTCCAATCCTCAAAGCTTCTCAAACTCAACCTTTAATCTCTCTTTGGCATGGCCTCTGAATCACAACTCTTTCTCTCTCTTGCAGATATGTTGATGGCTTGGACCAAGGAAAAGGCATGTACCTCCTCTTTGTGAAGCAAGAAATAACCACTGCGTCTGGTTTAACGGCAAGACCGGTCTTAACCAGCTATTACAAGAGCAAAAACTTCAGAAACAGGGCCTTCAATGGATACAATGTATACACAAGCCCTGATGAGACCATCCTTTGCACTGATAGTAAACAGAGCATGTTTTGCCAATTGATTTGTGGGTTAGTCCAAAGAGACCAAGTTCTGAGAGTTGGAGCTGTTTTTGCTTCAGCTTTTCTTCGTGCCATTAAATTCTTAGAGGATCACTGGGAAGAGCTCTCTTCCAATATAAGAACAGGCATTATCAGTGAATGGGTCACTGATAGTTCTTGTCGAGAAGCTACAATGAAAATCCTTGAAAAACCAAAGCCCGAACTTGCTGATTTAATAGAATCAGTTTGCAGTTCTAAATCATGGGAGGGTATAATCAAGAAGTTATGGCCAAAGACCAAGTACGTCGATGTTATAGTTACAGGATCCATGGCACAATATATATCAACCTTGGATTTTTATAGTGGGAGTCTTCCTCTGGTTTCGACTATGTATGCCTCATCAGAGTGCTATTTTGGGCTCAACCTCAAGCCTTTGAGCAAACCATCTGATGTCTCGTATATTCTTATACCCAATATGGCCTATTTTGAGTTTATTCCAGTGAATAAGGGTCTTGAGGAAGAAAGAATTGACAGAGATGTTCACTGTAATGGGAATACTGATAAAATTTGTATGGAACCAGAGCCAGTGGATCTTGTAGATGTCAAGGTTGGCGACCATTATGAGCTTGTGGTCACCACTTTTACAGGTCAGAAGCTCTCTCTCTCTCTCTAAATTATTTGGCAGTGCTTGTTTATTTTTACTAATTACAGCATTTCATTGTCCTCAGGCCATTGGATTTGATCACCTAATCCTACCCACTTGTTCAATATTTTCAGATTAGTTACTGACTTGATTCATGTGGGTCACCGGATTTTGACCCATAAGCATAATTTTTACTATCCTCGTTCTAAAAAACTTCACATCAATCCCTCAGCATGACTTTTTCAGCTAAATTCTTCTAAATGAAAGGGTCTCCATCATCTTTACCTGTTACTTTTCCTGAATCTGACCCCTTAGTTCCCACTCTCTCTCTCTCTCTCTCTCTCTCTCAGGAGGTTACTCATCTCATTGGGATAACAACACGCAAGCTAATTATCACCATTGTGGTAGGATCTGGTACACTAATGCTTGTTTTCCAATCCTCCAGTTCTTCTAAGTGTCATCCTATCTACAAGGACAACAAATTATTACCATACAAACTCCCCTGTATCTGACCCACGAGCCCAAGTTTTTCTGAAATCAATCATTTCTTGCCTCCGGAATCTGACCCAAAAACCCAGCTCTCACAAGTCTCAAAAATCAGTCGCCGTGAACCATAGGAATCTGACCCACAAACTCAAAATGGCACTTGAATCAGTCATTTCTCGACCACCAGAATCTGACCTACAAAATCAATTTTCAAATCTCAACTAAATCCATCCACCCAAAAATGACACACACCCACTTTTGGAGAAAGAAGAGAAAAGCTTCTCTAACTATTGGTTTTGCTTTCCTCCATTAACCAGGCCTATACAGATACAGTGTAGGAGACATCCTCCTGGTGACTGGTTTCCACAACCAAGCTCCACAATTCAAATTTGTACACCGAAGAAACGTGGTCTTAAGCATCGACACTGACAAAACCAATGAGGAAGACCTTTTGAGAGCCATAACCAAAGCCAAGCTCTTGGTTGAGCCATTAGGCTGCCTCGTAACTGAGTACACAAGCTATGCTGATACTTCCTCTATACCGGGCCATTATGTACTCTTTTGGGAGCTTCAAACCAGGGGAAAAAATCCATTGACAGAGCTTGAGAGCTCTGTAATGGAGGATTGTTGCTCTAATGTGGAAGAAGAGCTTGACTCTGTGTATAGAAGGTGTAGGAGCAAGGATAAATCAATTGGGCCACTGGAGATCAGGGTAGTGAAACAGGGTACCTTTGATGCTCTTATGGACTTCTGTGTTTCTCAGGGATCATCAGTGAACCAGTATAAGACACCAAGGTGTATTAAGTCTGAGGAAGCTCTGCAGATTCTGAAGTCAAGAGTTTTATGGAGCTTTTTCAGCAAGAAAATGCCGAGTTGGGTGCCTTATAGACTGATCCAGCATTAATGGGGGCTGATTTTCGCGGCACTTTTTCAGGTTTACCGGCTGTTTTTGGCTGGAAATTGATCGGAACCGGTTTGTGGATTTACTTTTCCAGTAAGCGAACCGGTGGGGCTGGTCTTGTGTAGCTGGACATTGACTTGTAAAAGCCGTTCTCTTTATTTTTTTCCCTTTTTTTTCTTAGATTTTTCTTAGTTTCTTCTTTCTATTGTCAGCATTTTCTTTTTATTCAGTTTTAAAACTTTATTGTATGCTAGATTTTTAAAGGCAATTCAGGGATTCCATACCCCTTTTTTTATTGAAGTATCCCTAAAACTTGGGGTGGATTAAGTCCACACATAAAGAAAGAAAGAAAAATTATAAAATGGAGGTGGAGAAATCCTTGTACGGTCATGATAGAATCTTTTTTGTACAATGATTCATCTGCACCGTCCTTGAGTTGCATGCTAACTATAGTGGATGGTCATATAGGTGGGAGGGGCTAGCAAAGGGCCGGGCTTAGGCGGAGCTAGACTTGACCAGGCCCAGTTCCCCATGGGCCCGGCCCATCTCAAACCATGTTGGAGGGGGTCTGGCTTGGTTCGGATTGGGCTGAATGGGTCCTAGCTTGGGTTGGGGCTAATATTCTTAATACCAAAAAAAAGAAAAAGGAAAGGCACATGACTGGGGCCTTGTTGTAGGCTTGGGTTAGGCTTGGCTCGACTGAACTCTCGGGCCATGGAGACCTCCCTGGCTTGCCCCTTGAGCTAGATTTTATGCCCTAGGCCCTCCTTTTTAAGAGTGGAGCTCTTACTATAGGCTCCTATCAATATACAACTAGGCAATTTGCTCACCAATGTTTTATTTGGTTTGGTCTAAAGTAAAAATTGAGTTAGTAGAAAACCCATCAAAACTACTACCTATTCTAAAGCCAATAATGGTGATTAACCATTAGATAGACAGGACCGACATTTGTGAAACACAGCAATATACCTCCCCGGTCCATCATATGAACTATGTAATATGGATGCACACATTGAAGATTTTTTGTGCATGTCAAACTAATTAAAGAAGCGACACTCATGCTTAACAATTTAGAATTTTAACACTTTCGAAGATTTCTCGTTGAAATCTCACTATTGAAAGAAAATGTTATTTAAGACTTGCCTTTCATTTCAAATAGTATACAAACATGTCTTGTCCAAAGAACTAATTTTAATTTATATATATATATATATATATATATATATATATATATAGCTTACAACATCATAATATAGAACGAATTGCCTACCAGTACATGTACTTTATGGAATATCATGCGTGTACTATGTTTTCCAACCTAAAATGTCAATGGAAGGAAACTTTGAACCTTCTAGAATAATATAAATTTAATTGTCAAGGTACTTATTCCCGAACAATAGTGTACTAACTTTTTAGAAAATAAGTAGCTGCTTCCATAAATTGATAGGTGTAGTAGATATGTGATGGTCGCGATCTCACACTCACATGGAATGCAAAACATCACTCAATATTCTACAATTAATTAATTTTTACATATTATCGAAATTACCCAAATTACTAAAACATTGTGTATAGTTTTTTTAAGGGTTTGTATTTAATAAGACTATTTATTATGATACAAGAAAGTCACAATTACTTGATGTGATATCTAATAGATTGGGTGTGTCATAAAAGTCGAAAAAATCTCTTTTGAACTTTGACTTTGGTTAAATGTAACCATTCACTTTAACATCTAATAATCATAATTAATTGTGATCATCTTAGACCTAATAATCATAATTAATTGTGATCATCTTATACTAAAGGTAAACACTCTCGTTCTTTTGTGTAAAAATATTTGAAATAATAACACCATTTAACTTAGCTAGGGTTTGACTATTCTAGCAAATGTAGATGTATACTCTCTCTCTCTCAACATAAACTTTCATACGAAGATTTCCACTCTTAACATAAACTTTCATAAGAAGATTTCCACGTTTTAAGGTATGCCATAGCATGTGGAAAGTCATTTCATGCAATAGTTTGATAGTCAAATATTGAAACCCATTATTAAAAAAACTATGTTATGGATATGACCCAAAAGTTTGTGCTCACAGGCTTTTCATCCCAAATATCAAAACCAAAGGAGAATTTTTTTTTCTTGAATTTAATACTTTGAAACAGTCTAAAATGAGTCCGTCTTCAACAAATGAACCAATGGTAGACATAGACCTTGGCCATTAAGCGCTCAAAATTAATTTAATTGTATTTTTTTAAAAACTTTTAAGGTTTGGCCTTTAACTAATTTTGTGTCTATTTTTGTTAGAATGAATGAAATTACTACATTCAATTTTTTTTAAAAAAAGAAGAAGAAAGAATTATCTTATTCATTTTCAAAATTGTTCATTAGATGAGTACATGTCCATTTGTAAAATTTGGCATTAAATAAATCTTCTGAGGCCTAGATCTAACCTTCTTATAAAATTGACAACCTAGAAAATTTAAAACTTAGGTTGATTATCTAAAAAATAATAATTTTTAGGTTGCATTTCAATTTTTTTGTTTTTGATGTTAATCTTAGGGATAAGGAGAGTGTGTGCATAAAATATAAGGTCATGTAACTACCCCTGACATTTCTGAAGCAACGGTTTTTTAGATCAGTGTTGAAAAGAAATCACTCTTTATATTATATGAAAAAAAAATATGAAAAGCTAATAATAATGAGAGCATACCAAATTGCCGTTAATTTCTAGAGAGAGAAAGTGGCATTATGTGTTTATAATCAAAGACTAAAAGTTTTTCAACACTTGGGCTCTACATTCTATTGGTCTGAAACTAAAATTTTATGGGTAATTGGAACTTCTTGTTGTGTGTTAACGTTTTTCGGGTTATAATACATGGGGAGTTTAGAGAGAGAAACATTTAAAAAGGGATGCTTCCATCTTTGACCAAGCCATTTGAACATCACCAATACACCATCTTGTTTCTTTCTCTAACTACCCGCTTTCTCTCACTATCACCCCTAGTAACGAGTTTGACAAAAAGTGAATTGTTAATGAAGTCACAAACCATGTCTGTTCAAATCAATGCACAAGGAAGAAATTTTAATGCACAAAACAAAAGGGGGAGAGAGAGAGAGAGTTCATATTCAAAACTAGAGAGACAGTGGGTTCACATTCACATTCACATTCAAAAACTCGAGAGAGAGGATTCACATTCACATTCAAAAGCTAGAGAGAGAGAGGTCACATTAAAAAACTAGAGAGAGAGAGAGGGCATTTTCAACTTTTATTAGCATTCACATTCACAAGAATCATAACTAGAGAAAATGCAGGTATCTTGAACTAACCCATGTAATCATTTTTGTACACATCGTTGCACCACTGTGCATTGGCATGTCTGTCTTTCTCTCTCTAAAAAGAATAATCGGGTACACCCAGAACAATAATATCAGTCTATTTTGTCCAACGAATACTTCATGCGTGTTGATGTAACCGGTCTCTCTCTCTCTCATCTTTATCTCTCCCATTTACCCTCTCCTTGTCCTTGCTTTCTTACTCTTTTAAGGTATTTTTAGAAGGGCACATGTATAGAGAGAGAAACCAATCACCCAAATAAGGTCTACATGGCTGGCTAATGTTTAGAAAGACTACTTGAGCCGAGTACCTTCTAGCCAAGTTAAAAAATGTCAAAATAAATAAATAAATAAATAAATATTTAAGGTAAAATTGAACAAAACATATCTAAATAAGGTTAAAAAGCCGTAAAACATATATTTTGAAAAACTCAATTTGTTATGGGAGGTGTTGTAGAAGGGAGATGTTTCTATATTTCTCCTACTTCATAGGATATACATACCTGTCCAATTTAGATTTAGTGAGCCATGACCGTTTGATCTTATATCTGATGCTTCAGATTATTTTAATTCTTATTTTTTTTAACAAATTATATGGATATAAAATTGGGTTAATTACGTACACCTCTTATATAAGTAGGGAAAATACTGTTTGTTCTTATATATTACAATCAAGGTTGGTCAACATGCCCTTTTTTTTTTTTGATAAAATTACCCCTCTGTTTAAGGATGTTATCCTCGGATTTGCTTGTTGTATTTTTTTCAAGAACTTAAGTTGCAATCTAAGGATGGCTTTCTCAGACCCCTTTTTTTTTTTTTTCAAAACTTAAGTTGCTTGAGGATAGTATTTTCGGACCGTTTTTTTTTTTTTTCAAAACTTAAGTTACCCGAGGATGGCATTCTCGGACCGCTTTTGTTTTTTCAAAAACTTAAGTTGCGGTCCGAGGATGGTTTTAACCTTTATAATTTG